AAATATTTGACAATTCTTTGGTTCCATTCAATCGCCTACAACTCAGCAAAGAAGAATTTGTTATCCTTCGGGCTATAATTTCATCACATTTTGCCTCAGTTGATTTAAGTCGGTATGGCCGACACCTATTACTAACTGAGGCAGAGAAATATTCTGATATGTTGATGAAAATGTTACAGGTGTCTTAGCTTATTCCTTTAAAAAACTTGGGGAATATTGAAGTATCTAACATTTATGATAGTAACACAGGGCTCCGATTCGTACTTTTTTAAAAGTATTGTACTTTTTTATCACCCTTCGTACTTCCGAAATTGAATTTGTACTTTTTTGAAAGTATGTACTTTTTTATCAACATTTTTGAAAAAACGAAGAAATCTGGCTTAAGGACCTCCAAAATTCTCAAAATTTTCGCCTGCGGCGCAAAAAATAGAAGAAATCTGGCTTAAGGACCTCCAAAATTCTCAAATTTTCGCCTGCGGCGCAAAAAATGAAAGAAATCTGGCTTCTTAGGCTCCAAATTTCAAAAAATTTTCGCCTGCGGCGCTTCTCAATGGCAAACATTCAATGGACGAAAGAAACTCGCTTGAGGTTAAGACTGTCAGAGCTTTGCTTCATGCGGCAGCAAATTTTGACATGTCATGCAATGAAATGCACAAAATGCTCAGTTGAAACAAGAAATTATTAGAAAAGATCAATTTAGGAGAGAAATATAAAAGATTTGATCACAAATATATATTTTCAAATTTAATTTTGAGTGTACTTTTTATTTGCAAATTTTCTCCCTATGTACTTTTTTTACAAGATTTTTATACTTTTGAGTGGCATTTTGTCGATCGGAGCCCTGTAGTAACATGATGAATGGGCTGACAGGAGCTGGTTTAGCTAGATAGGATAAAAGAATGCATCTGAATGTTTCTGTAATTAAATAATAGATATTTGATGGATTAAGGTGTTTAGAAGGGATGAATTATTAGAGAAATATTAAAATGATATCGTTTCGATTGAATCCGCACGATTGATTGAAATGAAGGTGTATAACAGAGAATTCGGCTCTATCTGAAAGGAGGTGCGGCATCATATTTTTTCCTTTTTCCTTACACAACCTTTCATTTTCCCTAATATGAAAAAATGGTCAGTTTTTCTTTCTTCCTTATAACACTAAAATTCCTTGTAGCATATTCAAATGAAAATAGTTGAATCGTGACAGGCTAACTTACGGAACAGACAAGACACGGATCATACCAAAACTCGGAACAGACAAAACACCGTTTTACCAAATCAAGGAACGACCAAATAACAGAGCGACCATAACACGGAATGACCAAAAACTGATAGAAGATCTGGTCTGTGATCTGGTAAGACGGTGACTTGTCCACCTTTTTGTCGTTCCATCTCCTGTCTGTTCCGTCCTGACAATGGCAATGAGAAAAAATTAATCCATTCCTTATTAAAGTCTCTCATTTGAATATGCCACAGAGAAAATTAAGAGCGTGGAAAAGACTGACCATTTTTTCATATTAAGGAAGAATGAAAGTTTGTTTAAGGAAGGAGGAAAAAATATGATCCCGCACCTCCTTTCAGATAGTGCCGAGAATTCGGTCTTCCTCCATCATTGGGTTGGATGGTGGCACATTCGATTGTGCTTCTTTCTGGGCTCATTTCCTATTCCATCTCTCATTAAATGAACTCGGCATTTATAATGTTAAAATATTCTATTTCAGAATAACTATGGACCATTGCCGGGTGCTAAAAGATATGCAGAATTGCTTCATTTAATTGAATTTTGCTTCAATTGTGCAAACAGTCATAGTCTTTTTCTAAATTATATGGCTTATGTAAAGGAACAGAATAATTTCCATAAATCAATGCCTGAAGCATTTGCTAATCTTTGTCTTGGTTGCAAAACTTGAAATTATTAAGGGTTTTGATGGAGGGGTTTTGGGTTTGGATGGAGGGGTTTGATTGTCCGTGAGTGAGAAGAATTAAGTTATTTAGGTAAAAAATCCGAAGAGCAGCCTAGTCTGTATTTTATGGATTATTAGGGTTTTCCCCGGTACCGAAAATATCCATTTGGCTAACACTAACCAAGAGTCATTGAAATCCCTAAAGGCAACACAAGCTATGTCATTAAACTAGAGTTGATCAAAACGATACTGGTATCGGCCAACCCGAGACCGAGATTGACCGATACTCAAGAACCCGATACCGAGACCGATACCAACATTTTGAGCCGAGACCGATACCGAGAAACGATACTGACCGAGACTAACAGAAATTTTTATTTTATTTAAAAAAATACGTGTAAAAATAATTTATTCATTGTTTTCATCATCCAAATCATCAGATAAATACTTTTCATCATCTGGATCAGATCTGGCTTGGCAATGGATGCTAATTTTTGTGTCCGTATCCGAATAGGTATATCCGTGAGGTCGACATCCGTATCAGATTATATCCTTACAACTTTTGAGGCATATCCATCCGCGGGTATCCGCGGATGGCCGAAGTGAAAATTTTTGGTTAACCAAACCATTATTAGAAGTGCAAGTCAACATATTTCTTCCAATTTTCAGCGCCGCAGGCGAAAATTTGTAGTTTTGGAAGGCCAAGAAGCCAGAATTTTTCCTATTTTCAACGCCGCATACAAAAATTTGAGAATTTTGGAAGGCCATGAAGCCAGATTTCTTCCAATTTTTGCCCTTAGATACGCAAACTTTATGCGCTCATCCCTGCTTCCGATCATTTTAATTTTTTTTTAATTTAATCCACTGGTGGGAACAACAGTTGCCGAAATCGGAAGACTCTGTAATCAAAATCTTGAAAATCTAACGGCCGAGGGCTCAGAACTGTGGCGGAAATTTAAGCAAAATACATACATACATACTATTTACAATTTTTCAAAAACTATTTTATTTTAGTGGTTCAATTAAGTATAGATATTTACAAATATAGAGTTGGAAAAAAATTTTTTGATTAGTTTTCCGTCACTGTATTTAATCTCCTTTATTAAATTATTTTTTTCTTCGTAAAGCATAAATCTAACCTGAACAAACATTTAAATATTTTATTTTAATGATTTTATTTCATTTTTATTTAACTCAATTTATAATTTAAAATTAATATTTTTTATTTAAAAATGAGTAAAATAAATTTTATTTTATTCCAGAACCAAAATTTAAAACTCAATCAATTAGTTTTAAATTTCCTTCAATTTCTATTATTTAGTTCAAATCAGGCATATATTGGGACATAAACGATAAATTAAGATTTAAACAAAGGCTTAACAACAACTTTTTCAATACATATGTATGTATATCCGGATCCGAAAAAAGGCCGGGTATCCGAAGATTTCCAACTATCCGACAGCTTAATATATGTATGCATATTAATGAAGAGCTTCTGATATATGCCTTTAAGTCACCTCTCGCATTTAAGAGTAGAGGTGATGGTTCTTGGACCGAAGCAGCGAAAATCTCCAGTTCTTCTGTTCGTTTCCAAACCAACTACAGGAAGAAAGGTCTCCTTACGAATTCCTGTCAATAAAGCGTTTTCAGCTAGCGATATTTTTTCTATTCCAGCTAGCGAGCTGGAATTTAATAAAAAATTAATATTTAATTCAAATTGTTTGCACAGGAATTTTAATTTTATTTAATACTAAATTCAATTTTAATGTCATTAACAAATTATATCAATGAAGGATTAAATGAAGTAATGGAAAATGAAAGCCTTCAAAATTTTGAAGATTTAAGTGATATTGAAGAAAATAACGAAGAAATTAAAGTTGATAATCAAAAAGTTGAAGAGAATAAAAATAAAAATTTAAAAGTTCGAAAAGTGGCAACAAAAACTAAATGTAGTATCTGTGAACGTATAGCTAGTGGATATCTCTATTATGGAGTAATTTGTTGTGATGGTAGTTTGCTTGACTAAATTTAAAAATTCAATTACTGTTTTCAGGCTGTAAACAATTTTTTAATCGTTGTATTACTTCAAGAAACAAATATAAATGTGAAAAAGATGGGAACTGTAATTTGTCGAATAGTAATTTTTTGCAATTAAATGGTGGAGGGATGTTAGTGATATTATGTGGAGATAAATATAGAGACAGGTGTTGGACATGACCGGTTACTAACCGGTGTCCAAAAACACCTGTTAACTGTTCTGCTCCAGTTAACCGTTTGTGTCCAAAACTAATGGAGACGTAGCTTATTTGTTAGCTGCATTTATAGATTGCCGATTGATTAAGGGCTTTTCAAATAATTCTGACAGTTAGGGGCTCTTAGGGGGCTCTCTCTTTTTTCTCTCCCTAAAAAAGCCCTCTTTAGGGCTTTTTCGTATCCGTATTTTTGTTCATTTAATAATACAAACATAATAATATCTAAAAAACTAATTAAAGATATAAATGTCTGCAAAAGTTGCCGTTTCGATAAATGCATATTAAAGGGAATGTATATTCAAACAACAAAAGGGAGGGAACCCGAAAAGGTTTTGGAAATACAAACAATGATTCAAAATAAACGTAGAGAACTTGCTAGTAAAGGAAAATATGTTCAAGGAAAATCTAATAATTGTGCTGTTGAAGGGCTGAATTTTGTTGATTTGGTAGATGAGATTATTTTGTTTATTAGGCCGTTTTCCCCTTATTTTAAAATATAAGGGGACGTATTTTCAAATTTTATTTTGTCAATGTCTGGTGTCCTCCTCAATTTAAATTCTTTTCTGCTCCAGAAATGATGTGCTTTTTCCGTAACCATCAAAGCCCGTCTTTTAGAGTAATCCATTTAGTTCATATGTACCAGGGGTGGCTAGTGCCACAAAATACGAGACACAAGATTCACGTGATACGAGATTCTCAAAAAAATACGAGAACGAAATAAAACGAGATAATACGAGATCTCTCAAAAATACGAGATTTTCACGAGATACGAGATATTAAATATTTATTATTTTTCAAACTTATTTATACATAAAATTGTAAAGTCGAAAATATAAGGATTTAAATGGATAATGATTACAGGTGGATTATAAAGGATATTGTGGATTTAGAAGATCAAGGGGATTTATTGAAATATCGTGGAGTACGGAGAATATCATGGAGGGTTATGGAAACAGATACCATGGGATTATTGAGGTTGTCAACTGATTGGTTGTCAACACACGATAAGGAGGCGAAATTTTTCTGAGCCACTCCATGTTTCATAATATCCTCCTAGTCACTCGATATCCCACTTCATTTTCGCAATCCATAAATATCTCTCGAAACTGACCCCTGATATGTTCCTATTTCGATTTTCAATAACTTAAAATTTCTCATTTTTATAATATTCTAGCAAAAGTCATTAATCGCTGCTCAAAACAAACAATCTCTTGACTATCTTCTAATTGTCGAGCAAAATGTTTGCCGTACTAGAGATTCAGGGATTGATGAATGCCATTACAATTCCTCGTGTAATTCTCTTGCTTCATTGCTTACGCGTAAAGAAAATTTAATTGCTATGAAACACATGGTTTAAATTTTAAAACAGAACAAATTTTCTTATAAATTTAAAGATTGGATTGCAAAAATACCCTAAATCTGGTCGTGATCCCATAGAAGGACATCGTGTCTTTTCTAATCGACCAAAACCTATGACGGATGGTATGCTTATTACTATTGATACTGCAAGAGCTATGCCTTTTTTCGATAAATTGGATTTATCTGACAAGGTGACTAATTTAGTCGATCAGAACCCTGACTATTTTTGGCTACAACTTTTCGCAAGTTCCAAAGTTATAGCTCCTAGATGCACAAATATTGTATTGTTTGGATTGTATTTATGACCCCATTTTCCTGGAGAGTATTTCGGTTATTGTTAGTCAGCCTATAAAAACGAAAATTGACCATTCAGCGAAAGTGTCAAATCTTTTAGATTTGAATATTTTTTAATTATTAAACTTTGGCCGAAATTTTGTCCATATATTTTTGTCCATATTTTTAAGCCCGCTCAAAAAATGTTAATTATGGCGGGCCAAAAGGTTTTTTTGAACCTTGCACATTAACCGTTTGGTCCCTGCTCCTTTTTCTCCCCATTCTTTTAAATCTCAGGCCCGCTCAATTTAACTAGGAAAAGCTCTATTGTATTTTTGTGTATTTTGATTCGGCCTTAAAAATGTCCTATCTCTTCCCTTTCGTCTATCTTTGCAACCCTTTGCACTGGTTGTTTTGGCCAACTAATTTTGGATTAAAATGTGCAAACACCTCCTTCTTTTTGCACATATCAACCCGAATATATAAATGGAATTTTGAGCAGTTTGGCTCAGTTTCTGAACTATTCCTTCCCCTCGATTAAAGTTAAAGTTTTAAAGTAAAGTTTTTTGAACTACATTTTTCCTCCCCCTGAAGATTTGTTATTGAAGTTTTTTATCCGTTCCTTCCCCAGTCAGATTTGAAGTTTCTCCCCCTTTTGATTTTCCTGATATATGTTTGTTAAAAGATTTGGGCCCATTTTGAAAGGAGAATATTTACTTGTTAAATTGTTAATTTTGATAATTGGAAAATAAAAGTTGTTAAAGAATTTAGTTAATTTTTGGATTTATTTAATTTAATGTATTTTCCCTCCCCTTTTATTAAAATTCTGTTTAGAATTTTACAGCTCAGCCGGTGAACACCCGAGACCGATTTTTTAAATTTGCCCCTTTCTGAAAGAAATTTTTTCTTGATATATATTTTGGTAATCCTGTTAATAATTAAAATTTTTATTTTTGTTTGATTTTAAAAAGTCCGGATTATTTGTTTGTTTTAAAAGAATGTCCTTAACTTATAGAAACCAATTGTCCCAGCTCTGTTCCATTACGAAAGAAATATATTTCCCTAGCCCGTTCTCTGCCCTCATAGAAGATTATAATAATTTTAAAACCCAATCTTTCGAATCTACCCAGAACTTAATTAATGAAATAGACCTTACCACCCAAGAGATCACCAAAATCCTTAATGATTTTAAAATGGCCCACGATTCATGGCAAAACTTAAGAATTTCAATGACAGAAACTGAAAGGGCAACCGACAGCCAAATCCTAGAGAAATTCCTTCAAGAAACAGATTATATAAAAATTATGTATGACCTTAAACGGTATGCACGAAAGTTTCGGAATTCCCGTAATGAATTAGAAAGTAACCTACCTAAAACTAAACCTCAATTTGACCATTCACATCTCCTTCCTGAACTTCCTCTTTTAAACCCTTCCCAGAACAGACCTTTTAATGAAAATACTCAAGACTCGTTAAAACCAGTTTATACAAATTCTAGTGATAAATCTTATCGAAACCGGACCTTCTCTAACTTTTGTTTGTATCCCAACCCTTCGATTACAGAACACTCCGAGGAGAAATTAGTTAATAATCCGACCCCCTTCATTAAAAGTTATACTAAAGAAATGAATAAATTAGATCCACTTCCTATTCCTCCTGGCTTTTCCCCTCTAGAAGAAATAAATGTTGAAAAGAACCCTAACAATTTACACAATCAGAATAATGAAAAATTTATATTGAATAAAAGAATTGCAAATGGAATTACTAATAAAAGACCCAGTCCCCCTCCCGGCTTTACTCCTATTGAAGAGGAGATTATAAATGAAGATAATGAAGCTAAAGCTTATAATTATTCAAAAGAAATGCCCCTTGTTTTAACAAATAACTCAATTCCCGATTTATTCCCAGAACGCCCCCTTATATCTCTTGAAAATCTACAACAGTCTATTTCACCTGTTAATTTTAATTCTTCATTTGGAACTACTAATATTAATTCATCAGAAACTGATTATATTCTTACATCAGAAGAGATATTGGAAGAAAATAAACCATTACCCCCCACGCTTAATTATCTGGAAATTTTTTGTATAGAAAAAGGAAAAGAAAGCCCAATACCTCGTAAAAGACAAAGGAAAAAATTACCCAAACGATTAAACCGAGAACCAACGATTATAAACAATTCCCGATCCGATGTTATTGCCTGTCAAATACATCTTAAGAGATTGAAAATAAGCCCTCGGAATAACCGTAAATACTGTATTAATCCCTCTAAGTTTAATGCTATTTTAAATGATTTTAAACAAATCCATGATCAGAATCCTTGCTCTCCCCTACCTTCATTAAAAATGTCCCGAATAAAAGGAAATGATAGTCTTACCCCTAAAAACCCGTTTTCTACTTTGGCTAATCTTAATTTGTCTGAAATACAATGTGTTCATCATTCTGTGATTAATTGGAAGGAGATTCTTTCAAAAATTAAACAACACTATACGTTGATGCCATGGCAAGGATGAGGAACATGATCGAGAATAAACCCACCGTCAACAAAAAATGGTAAAATTAAATTTAAATATAAAGAAAATAATTCCCCAAAATTTTACCCTCTTCTTAATGCATCAACGAAGCTTATATCAAGAATATGAATATGGCTCTAGTCTTAGAACATGCCGATGAATGAAAGTAAAAAGGGACGAGAAGGGCTGATCATCCAACTTGTAACAGAAATTTGGAAGAATTGAAAGGAAAATAGATGACCAATTCTGTTGAAATTTGTTATACTTACCCGGACCCCCTCCACCCGTCCCTGCACCTAAACCCATATTCCAACATCTCCCCTACGCCTCATCTTAATTTTTTTGGGTTTCTCCCGAATGTCAAATCTTTTAGATTTGAAAAAAAATATATTTTATTAACCTTTGCCCGAAGTTTTGTCCATATATTTTTGTCCTTATTTTTAAGCCCGCTCAAAAAATGTTAATTATGGCGGGCCAAAAGGCCTCTTTTTGAACCTTGCAATTAAACGTTTGGTCCCTGCTCTTTTTTCTCCCCATTCTTTTAAAATCTCTGGCCCGCTCAATTTAACTAGGAAAAGCTCTTTTGTATTTTTTGTGTATTTTGATCCCGTCTGAAAAATGTCCTTTCTCTTCTCTTTCGTTCTATCTTTGCAACCCTTTGCACGGGTTATTTTGGCCAACTAATTCTGGATTATAATGTGCAAACGCCTCCTTATTTTTGCACCTCCCAACCCGAATATATAAATGGAAATTTGAGCAGTTTTGGCTCAGTTTTTGAACTTGTACCCTTTCCTTCCAGTTAGATATTCCTCTCCCCGTTTGAAGTTAAGAGTTTTTGAACTTCCTTTACACATTCCTTCCAGCCAGTTATTTCTTCCCGTTAAAGTTAAAAGGTTTTTTTGAACTTCTTTTACCCATCCTTTCCCAGATATTGTTCCCCGTTTAAAGTTAAAGCTAAAGGTTTTCTGAACTATTCCTTCCCCCCGATTTAACTTAGAGTTTTTGAACTTCCTTTGCACATTCCTTCCAGACAGTTATTTCTTCTCCCCGTTAAAAGGTTTTTGAACTGTTTTCTTTACCCCCTAAAAGATTGGCTTTTGAATATTCTATCCCCCAAGTTTTCCTACTTTGAATAATTTTATAAAGATTTGAGTTTTTTTGTTGTCAATTTAAATTTGTTTGGAGAAATAAAAAATTGTGAAAGTTGTTTAATTTATTGGATTTAAGGATTTTTTTCTTTAATGTTTAGCTCTCCCTTCCTTTTCCCATAAAATTCTGTTTAGAATTTTACAAAAGGGCCGTTCTAGTGAAGTCTCTAACAAAACTAACTTTTCGCACTTATATGTACAATAATTATCTTTTTTTATAAAGATTATTCTAATCAAAACAATCACCATACCGATTGCATCACTTAATATACGGTATTATTGCAGTACAATTTTATCTGAAACTATTATTTGGCCGAATGGATTTCCAATTAAAAATATTTACAATGCAGATATTTACAAAGAAGACATGACGTAAATTCTATTTTTGATTAATCTTTTATTATGTGTTAGGATAAACAGATTTGTCAAAAAAGTATGTGACGATTCAATGGTTCCATTCAATCGACTACAACTCAGCAAAGAAGAATTTGTTCTCCTTCGTGCTATAATTTCATCACATTTTGCCTCAGTTGATTTAAGTCGACATGGCCGACACTTATTACTAACTGAGGCAGAGAAATATTCTGATATGTTGATGAAAATGTTACAGGTGTTATAGCTTATTCCTTTAAAAAGCTTGGGAAATATTGAAGTATCTGACATTTATGATAATAACATGGTGAATGGGTGACAGGAGTAGTTCAGCTAGATAGGATAAAAGAATGCATTTTCCAATTAATGTTTCTGTAATTATATAATAGATACCGTAAATCTATTGAAGGATAACATAAAAGATATAATATAAATCTATATAAATAAGCGACTTTTAATTAAAGCATTTGTGGTTTTAATTAGAGCATTAAACATAAGTTCTAAAGAAGTTAAAACTTTCAGCTAATATTTTCGGAAAATATTTCATAACTAGAAGGCGATGATCTAACGAAACTAAAACCTTAGCTGACTAACCACGACCAATGAATCCTTTAATTATTCCAAATATTTATCATTGTTTGTCAAATCCTTGCCAATAAAATTGTATTGTTACGCACTTGTATTGTGTATATAAATATAATAAATAACCAATCATCGGGTTGGATGGTGGCACAGTCGGTTGTGCTTCTTTCTGGGCTCATTCCTGATGGTTCTAAATATTCCATCTCCCATTAAATGAATTTTTCCACAGCATACTATTAAAATATTCTATCTCAGAATAACTATGGACCATTTCCGGGTGCTAAAAGATATGCAGAATTGCTTCATTTAATTGAATTCTGCTTCAATTGTGCATACAATCATAGTCTTTTTCTTAATTATATGGCTTATGTAAAGGAACAGGATCATTTCCATAATTCAATGCCTGAGGCACTTGCTAATCTTTGTCTTGGTTGCAAACCTTGACATTATATCGCATGTTGATAAGAAATTAAGGATTTAAAGGATTTATATAAATCCGATATTTTTTATATTTTTGTGGAATTTCGTTTATACTTTTTGAGGTGACTCAGTGAGGCATCCCCAAAGGTATAAAATTTAACTTTTCGATGCTCTTTGTGAATATTCAACCTTTATATTCCGAGATAAAGATTTTAATTGTATTATTTGTGTTTATTTATTTTGTCTAATTGATTGTTCTAAGTGAATAATTAATTTGAGATATTTGTTCCGTGTTTCTAAAAACAGGAAGGTGAAAACTGACAGGGAAAAAATGAGAATGCAAGAAAAGAAAACAGAAAAGGAAAGACTACTTGGATTCAAAAGACCATGTACTAAATCAAACCAGGTAAAGAAGCTAGAATTTGACTTGTATGCATAAATAGCAGCAGGATCAGAACTTCAGAACGGATAAAATTTAAGAATAAAGTTGATCACGTCTTTCCGCTATCAAATTTATCTTGGGTGTATATAAACCTTTCCACTTGAATATTTTTTATTTTATTAAGACCGGTTTTTGAATAAATATAGTCAACTAATTTATAAACTGGTTATTTTTTAATTACATATTTTATTATGATAAGTGTGTTGACTTCAATTTAATTTTTAAATTTAATTGACAAATTTATTCTTTCTTTAGTTTAAGAGAAAAAAAGTGAAAGTGAGTAATGTTTTAATTTATTTATTAATGTCTTTTACCTAATTAATATTATCGATAGTTGATCAGATTATGTATACCATGATCTACTATTCATTTTATTTATTTTTTATTTTAAATTTAGTTACAAGAATATATAACATCTGGTACACCGGAAGTGAAAATTACCTTAAATGTTCTAATAGAACAACATTTGCTTTTATTTTTCGATCCTCTAGTAGGATATAGTTATATTAGAGAGTGTGCTTATTCACAGAGTTTGGTTCATTTAGAACATTTACGGTATAATATTACTTTCAATACAATAAACGAATTTTTCGTTCCAAAGTGTACACATCAGCAACGGAATCGAAAATTCTCGATTTTCATCGAATTGATGCCATTTATAAGCTCCGATTGTTAGAAATAGGGTTTGTCATCGATATGACAAAGAAAAAAGTTTCACGTCGGTTTCACCAGATCATCGGTTTCACCAGAACCTAGTTAAGAATAGGGAATTGGCCGTAAGGATGCCTGATACACATTTATAATATCCGACGTTTAAGAGTTCCTCTAACCTTTAACTTCCTATTACTTTGTGTTTTTTCGTTTGAATGATCCTGCCTCCACTTTTTTATTAATAAAAACTGAAACAATAATTTTTAAAATTCTTCTATAAATTTAAATATCGTATTTTTGGGAGGATTTTTGCAAAATATTTTTTTGAACTAAATGCATAGTTAAATTTCGAATATTATTAATACTTATTTTTATATTCTCTTATTCAAAATAATTTTTAAATGACAAGTTAGTAACTATTTTAAAATATTTTAAAGATAATGCTTATATCCCTTCCAATATTATTATTTTTATTAAATAATATTTATTGTAATCCACCAACAATTGATGAATGTAAAATTAGGGATAATATAAATGATTACCTTCATAATTGTTTTTTGTATGGTTTTTATTTTTAAAAATTTTCTTAAAATTTTATTAAAATTTTAAGTTGTTACCAAGAATTACTTGTTTGCCTTTTCTCTACCGAATTAAAATGTGATATGGAAAAAAGTTTTACTAATAGAGAATATTATTTTGATTATTCTAATTGTAAAGATTTATATTCGGGTTGTGCTACAGCTGAGAAAAATGGATGTTTAGATGGTTATTGTAAATGTGAAAAGTAATGAGAGTTTATTAAATAAATAAAATGTTACAAATTTATTTAATTAAAAAAATCATTCTGTGTTAGAAACGTGGGTACAGCCCAAGTAACGGCGCAAAGCCATAACTTGCTTCAAGATTTCCGAATTTTACCAAATTTAGTATTAATCGATTCCTTTCATCGATGTAAAGAGATTACCGTTATGACCGCGAGCCTACTTTGGTGTGTCCCTAAAAACGTGTACCTTTTGAATAGATTTTTTTACAAATAAAGGGAAGAATTTTAATTTCGCTAGAATGGGGGTAGAAATGTTATAGTTGATTAAAGCTGCCTGTTGCTCAATTAGCCATGTTTTAGTTAGAGGAATAGAGGACTTTTAAATATCGAATCATTGTCAGAGTATTATTTATTTGTAACTGTGATAGTCTAAAAGATAATATTATTGCTAAGAGAATTCCTAATTTTTTTGTAAAAAAATATTAAAAAATAATTTAAAAATATTTTTATAAATTTTTTAAAACAACTATTCATAAATAATTTAAAAAAAATAAATTTTTATATTAAAGATTAATGATTGGTTGTATAACAAAAAATAAATGCCGTCCTTTACATGATAAAAAATTAAATAAATCATTAAGCAACTTTTATTGGTTTATTACAAATTATAAAGTAGAATCTGCAATTACTATGGACAAAAATAAACCTATGAATACATCTTTTGTTTCTGTTAATTATTTTGATGGAATATTTAATTCTCTTTTGCATAAATTAATTAAATAATATTTTCCTTAATATTTTGAATAAATTTAAAGAGACAGGAACGAAAGTTCGGGAGCGGTTTTCTCGTGTCAGTAAAAAATGATGGTGGTTAAAAAACCCCAGAACGGCGAAAAAGGTGTTAAAAGCCTTTTTAAAGCCGGTCTTTAATAGAGACCGGATCGATACGATATATCGATGAAAAATATCGATATATCGATGTCGATATTATCGATACGGATATTATCAATCAATAAATTTTTTCCCGTCATTGGTACAACTTCTCCCGTCGGGAAAAAATATCGAAAAATATCGACGATATTTTTTTTTGTTTTTTTTTTGTTTTTCGAAATAGATACCGATATTATCGATCGATCACTCAAGTCCGGTCTCTAGGGGACTGGGCCATTAGGGCGCGGGGCCATTAGGGCGCGAGCTTATAAAACAGTGAGTTGCTTATCAAAAAGATAAAATTTTGCAATAATAACTCTCATGCCTTTACATATCTACGTTCTCCAAAAATTTCAGAATTTTTGATCAAGAATTTCGGAAATTGTGGCCAAAAATGTTGATTTTCCGAAAAAACCCTAATTTTTCGCGGTTTATCGACTATAACTTCAGAAATATTGGATGAAAAATTCTGAAATTTCTGGAGGAGGTAGTCAATGATGTTAAAGAAATTTGAGAAAATTTTCATAAATTTCGGTTTCGCCTAAGTGTCAGTTTCTAGTGCTGGCGCCCTAATGGCCCCGCGCCCTTATGACCCCAACCAGTCTCTAGTCTTCAACCCTTTTTTGCCCGTTCTCCGTTCTTTTAATTAACCATTTTTTGTATAGCAGCCAGTTTGTTAAATCAAAAATAATATGTATTATTGAGAGAAATCTTGGACAAGGACATTGAACAGAATAGTTATTTTGAAAGATTCGTAAAATTAAGTATTTATTTGTTAAATTATTTATAAATTTCTAATTTACATTCACATTTTAACATTAAAGTACAGATAAACATATTTATTTTTATCTTTAAAAATAGACTCAGATAATTATAAGTAATTAGATAAAATAAATAAACACAAATAATAATGTACAGTTAAAATCTTTATCTCGAAATATCACAGAGAAATTATAAAGGCTGAAATATTCACAAAGAACATTGAAAGGTTAAATTATTATCAGTGCTGGGTATGGCTCCGGGAGCTAGCTCCGGAGCCGGCTCCGGCGGAGCCGGAGCCGGAGCTAAGATTTTGAAAACCCCGGAGCCCGGAGCCGTAGCCAAGGTTTTCCAATTCCCCACGGCTCCGGCTATACACCCCTAAAGTTGTGTTAGAGAAAAAGAAGTAAGCAAAGATGGTAGGCGAGAAAAGAAAAGGAAGAGAAAATTGGGCTACCCTACAACTCATCGAATCCTTAACTCATCGAATCCTCAACTCATCGAATCGGCCAAAAACACTCAACTCATCGAATCCTTAACTCATCGAATCCTCAACTCATCGAATCGGCCAAAAACGATCAACTCATCGAATTTTTCCAAAAGGGGACGTTTGAGTCCCCGTGTTTATTTTTTAGATTTTTTATTGTTTTGTTTATTTTTTTTTGTTTTCTTCTGGGGTTTCAACTAATTTTGTTAATTAGTTGATCGGGCACTCATCCAAGTTTATCCGGCCAGTGAAAACATTATCAGAACATTATCTCATTCCTAATAAATTATGCTGGAGATTTTACCGGGTAAAACCGGACCAAATTAGTCCAGTAGACCCCGATTATGCCCAAAAGCCCTTTTTCCTAGCCTCCATAGCAGCAAAAAAATTTTTCAACGAAGATTCAGTTAGCCCTTTCGGGAGAAAAATAAAAACAGGGGACTCAAACGTCCCCTTTTGGAAAAATTCGATGAGTTGAGCGTTTTTGGCCGATTCGATGAGTTGAGGATTCGATGAGTTAAGGATTCGATGAGTTGAGTGTTTTTGGCCGATTCGATGAGTTAAGGAATTTTAGCCGATTCGATGAGTTGAGCGTTTTTGGTCGATTCGATGAGTTAAGGATTCGATGAGTTGAGCGGGCACGGAAAATTGAGACGGGTAAAAAAGATTTTCTTTCCTTTCCTTTCTAAAGTAGTTGTGGTTGAATGGATAGTGTTCCGAGTTTTATCCAGTTATAAGTTCGAAAAATATTACAAAAAATGATTAAATAATTGTTTTTCTTTGGAAAACAAATTATAATAAGCATTTTTTAAATAAATAAAGCTGGATAAATTTTTTAAATTGATTAATTTTAGTCTCCTGTGAGTCAAATTTTTCAAAATTTTCGCCTGCGGCGCAAAAAAGCGAGTGATAATGAGAATGATAAATCAAATCCCCCTTAATCCAGCTTAATTCCCCGATATCGCCCTTAATTCACAAGATAATCCACCCAAATCCCGCTTAATCCGTTGATAACCCTCTTAATCCTCTTATATCACTCGATATCACTCTTTATCTACCCAAATCCCCCAATGAAAAATAATTCATTGATTTTCCACCCGGAGCCCGGAGCCAACATGGAGCGGCTCCGAAAATCGCCGGCTCCGGAGCCGGAGCCAAGATTTTGAAACCCCGGAGCCGGAGCCAACAAATGGCAAATACCCAGCACTGATTATTATACCTTTGTGGGAGACTCACTGAGAGACTCACTCACTGAGTCAGCCCCAAAGGTTTAAACAAAATTCCACAAAAATATAAAAAATATTGGATTTACATATATAAAATCTTTAAATCATTAATTTCGTCATCGACATGCAAATTTGTTGAAAAAAAAATACTGCATTTTAACGGAAAAGAATGTTAACCTAAATTAATAGATATACCATATATAATATAAAAAAAACAAATTTCAAGTTTTGCAACCAAGACAGAGATTAGCAAATGCTTCAGGCATTGAGTTATGGAAATAATCCCGATCGGTTACATAAGCCAGATAATTTAGAAAAAGTCTATGATTGTTTGCACAATTGAAGCAGAATTCAATTAAATGAAGCAATTCTGCATATCTTCTAGCTCCTGCAAGTTGTCCATAATTATTCTGAAATAGAATATTTTAATAGTATATATGCCGAGTTAAATTATTGTGTTCATGCTGTGGAAAAATTCATTGAATGGGAGATGGAATAGAACTATCAGGAATGGGCCCAGAAAAAAGCACAACCGAATGTGCCACCATCCAACTCGATGACGGGTTAATTTTATTTATTCATATTCTTTCTGCAATTGCTATACAAATTTTATTGGCAAGGATTTGGATAAACAACGATAAATATTTTGAATAATCAAGGCATTCAATGGTCGTAGTCCAAACCGGACCGAAACATATGTCATTTGATTCGTCTCGGCGAGCTGAGTCGAACGGTACCACTCATAAATGCCTGTGGACCGAGATATAGGTCCCTAAAATTTGAAAAACCATAGGGGGAGTAAGCTCGATTTTGTTGTAAAATTTGATATTTTGAATGTTCGGGGACCTATATCTCGGTCCACGGCCATTTCCGCACATAGAGAGTGGTACCGTTGACTCAACTCGCCGAGACGAATCGAACGACATATGTTTCGACCGGTTCCGTGACTTTTGCGCCGAGAACATTTGCGCCGCGACTTATGCGCCGCGACTTTTGCGCCGCGACTTATGCGCCGAGCGACTTTTGCGCCGGGGGACTTTTGCGCCGCGACTCTTGTGTTAATTAAAAATAATAAATGCTCTAATGCTCTAACTAAGACCGTCCGAAGATATCCACTAAAAGTTTCAAGTCTTTGGAACTTATGTTGTACATATATACCGTAATTTTGGAAGGCGTAGTGACAGAAGACCCACAGACGAAAGACCCACAAGAAAAATTTTTAACCAAAATTTAAGAAGAAATTTTCTGAAATTTTTGAAAAAGACACGTCTATTGTTCTAGGCCCAAGATTAAAAAAATATTTTTAAAATATTGAAAAAAATTATTCCAAAGTTAATCAATGAAATTTGATTAATGAAAAATGGATTAAAGAGTCGGGTGATTAATTGGGATATGTAGGAATAGCGTGGGATTTTGGGTAAAACCTCAATCGAGGTCGATGGGCAAATTTTGGTCCATCGGTTCCAGTTCCAAACTGTTCCAGACATTTATTGGTTCTACGGTCCCAGTACCGGAACTGGAAACGCAAAACAACTTCCCTCTTAGAACAACTTCAGATGTTGTGAAAACAATTACCTAATAGATTAATAGTTCCTAATTTTCGGCGCCGCATGCGAAAATTTTAAGAATTTTGGAAGTCCAGAAGCCAGATTTCTTCAATTTACCTCCTGTCAGCCTATTTTCATCATGTTACTATCATAAATGTCCGAAACTTCAATATTCCCCAAGTTTTTTTAAAGGAATAAGCTAAAACACCTGTAACATTTTCATCAACATATCAGAATATTTCTCTGCCTCAGTTAGTAATAATTGTCGGCCATACTGACTTAAATCACATGTGACAAAATGTGATGAAATTATAGCGCGAAGGAGAACAAATTCTTCTTTGCTGAGTCGTAGTCGATTGAATGGAACCATAGAATCGTCAAATATTTTTTTGATAAGTCTGCTTATCCTAACACATAATAAAAGATTAATCAAAAATAAAATTTACGTCATGTCTTCTTTGTAAATATCTGCATTGTAAACATTTTTAGTTGGAAATCCATTCGGCAAAACAAGAGTTTCGGATAGCTTTATACTGCAATAATACCCCCCATTAAGTGATGCAATCGGTATGGTGATTGTTTTGATTAAAATAATCTTTATAAAAAAGATAATTATTGTATAACTGCGAAAAGTTAGTTTTATTAGAGACTTCCACTAAAACGACCCTTTCGCTGAATGGTCAATTTTCGTTCTTTATAGGGTCATACGACACTTGCAGATATGACACTTGCAGATCAGACATTTGCAGATCCGACTTTTGCAGATATTAATTTTTGAAAAAAAAATTTAAATTTTTAAAAAAATTTAAAAATCTTAAAAAATCAAAGGATATA